GATCTGGGCGTGTATTTTTCCTCTCCTGTTACAGTAGTGGTGCCTGTGACCAACCCCGATCTGGGCGTGTATTTTTCCTCTCCTGTTACAGTGGTGCCTGTGACCAACCCGGATCTGGGCGTGTATTTTTCCTCTCCTGTTACAGTAGTGGTGCCTGTGACCAACCCTGATCTGGGTGTGTATTTTTCCTCTCCTGTTACAGTAGTTGTGCCGGTGACCAACCCCAATCTGGGAGTGTATTTTTAGCTCACCTGGCCCGAAGGGCCAAGTGAGCTTATGGCATGGTGTGTCGTCCGTCGTCCGTCGTCCGTCCGTCGTCAACTTTTTACTTTAAACAACTTCTTCTCAGTAACCAAAAGGGCTAGGGTGATGATATTTGGCCAGAAGCATGCTGGGATGAAGGGCTACCAAGTTTGTTCAAATAAATGTGGTGTTTGGGTTCTTTTGCAATAGATGACGAATACCATATATCTTTGATTTAGTGGGTATTTATTTCCCTGTAACAATATTAAAACACACATGAGACAATATACAGAAACGAACTCGCCTAACAATACATTTACATATGGACAATTCACGTTGTAACGTACGATACTTTAAAAGACCTAAGGTTTATAAAACAATTATTTAAAGTAGCGTAGAAAACTATATATGAATATGGTTCACATAATACTTATAATACCAGTAAACTACACCGAAGTATAAAATCAGTGTTCAATAAGGAAAGTGTTCACTTAGTCAATAACCACACCCATAATTATATATGAGCAATTTACGGCACGTTATAGCATTCCCAATAAATATAAATTATGGAGCATTAATATTTATCAGCATAAATATTAAGTTTAGCAATAGCTTATATATTGTATTTGACCAATAGCTTACCCTGTATGTGGTACCGGGGATCCACTAGTATAATCTGCCAGGTATGTATATTTCGTAAGTATGTATATATGGCGATGTTGCCTCTACCAGGAGCAGATAGGAAGTGAATGGAAAAGAAAGGACAGAGAAGCAAAGAAAACATTGAAGCGGGAAATATCACGCAATGCGACAGGTGTCAGAGGTCAGTTTGTCACTGGTCAAACAGGTATACAACATTCACAATTACGTCACACTCTCATACATTCCATTCAAAACGAAAGTAACACACGAGACTAGGCGACAGCGATTGCGGATGCGGAGCGCGGATTACGGATTAAAATCAACGACACATTGTTAGACAAAGTAATCCTAATAAGACTCAATATATTTTAGTGAATCTTTAGGAATATAAGGAATTAAAATGAATTAACAAATCTAACCGGGTGCCACAT